CGAATTAATTGCGAGCTTTTATTCAGATTTAACGAACAACATGCATGAAAACAAAAAAAATAGTTATGTAAAAGGGCGATTCTTGCACCAAAAAATTCGAGCGTTAACAAAATAAATTCAGATATATTAAGCGAAGTAGCAGGAGAAATAACAGATTATTTGTCAGTAGACACAGTTATGGACACAGAACAGAGCACTTCATATCCCGCAGAGTTTCTAAATTTTCTAGAGTTGTCAGGTGTGCCTTCACGTAAGCTTCAATTAAAATTAAGCGTCCCAGTCATGATAATGCGAAATTTAGATGCTCCTCGGTTATGTAACAGGACAAGCCTGCGTGGTACACATCTTGGACGGAACATAATCGGTGCCACAATTTTGACAGGCGTAGGAAAAGGTGAAAATGTTATTACAACACGGATCTCTATAATTCCCACAGATCTTCCTTTTCAATTCAAAAGGTTGCAGTTCCCTATTAAGCTCAGTTTTGCAATGACAATTAATAAACCACAAGAGCAAACGTTACAGGTAGCGGGGGTCAACTTAGAAAAACCGTGCTTCTCTTATGGTCAGCTGTATGTAGCATGTTCGCGTGTGTCAAATGCCCAGAATCTCCACATTCTTTCCCCGAATGGAAAAAAATATAACATTGTGTACAGTAGCGTCTTAAAATAGTGTTCAGTTAGTTTTTTTTTCCAAAATTCCCACAATCAATTAATCAGAATTCCCACAGATTTTCCCTTTGAATTCAAAATTTCCTATTTAGCTCAGTTTCTTTTCAATTCCAAATGCTGCACCTCTGACGGACCTATTAAGCTCAGTTCCCTTTCAACTCAAAAGGCTGCATCTCTGACGGATCTTTTATTTGGCTCAGTTTCCTTTCAATTCAGAAAACTGCATCTCTGATGAATCAATTTAGCTCAGTTTCTTTTCGAAAGTCTGTATCTCTGACGGATAATTATGCCCAGTTTCTTAAAAATTTTTAAGAAACTGAGTATAATTATCCATCAGGGATGCAGACTTTTGAATTAATTAAAAAATATCCCATTTCCATTTGGAATAAACAGACTATTTTCATGCTTTTCTACACGCTGCTTTTCAAACATTTAAATAGGCTGACGAATCAATTTTGCTCAGTTTCCTTTTAATGGCTGCATCTCTTACAAATCTATAGAACTCAGTTTTCTTTCAATATAAAAAGCAATGGATAGTTCATTTCCCAGTGACCAAGCGGGCGAAGCCGTGGGTAACAGCTAGTAAGTATTATTTTATTCCTATGCTAGGTTTTTGGAGTTGTTTTTATTCCCATAAGCATTGAATTGTTACATTATTTTAATTTCGTATTGAGTTAAAAAGTTATTTTGCGTTACATTTGTGCCAATTGCTTCTAATCCCTATGCGTAGTAGATTACCCGGCTCTACAGACGTACATTATTCATTCAACTGCCGCTGCTTATAGTAAACTTCTGCTGCCGCTTGGGATTTTCGCCTAAAAATGAATTTCAAAGGAGAGATACTTTGTATGACTCTATTGGTGATTTTTGGATTCGAAAGCAAATAGATTCACAGTGTTGGTAAAATCTATCTAAGATAGTGAATAGAGAAAAATTGAGGAAATTTTTAAAAAGAGAACTGATTTTCTGTTCGGAAGAAAACGTGGATTCATTTTCATTGTATTTCACTGCACCACATGCACAGTATTAGGTCTTATAATCTGTGAATACTTCGATTGAATAGCCAGGTAGTGCTCTTATATATGAGGCGTGTAACTCGGGGGCTAAGCCAAAATACGAAAAACCTAGGTTCGATCCTTTTTTAGGCTCCATGGAATTTCATGTAAGAAAAGTTCCTGTAGGTTTTCCCGTCACGGCTCTTTGAACGAAGTCATCCGAAGGGTTCTTGTCTCCATAAATATTACCTCGGTTTTAGAGCCTTGCGGAATATTTAGAGGCGATGGCAAGAGACCCGACGGTATGACTTTGGTCCCTTGGGAGAGTGGTAAAGCCCTAATGTGGAAATGCTATTTGCGTTGACAATTTGGCGGCCTTTCATCGCAAGGGTACATCTTTTAGAGCTATGGTGCAATCAAAGGCAGCTGAATTAAGTAAATGGCGCAAATGTGTCTTTGAGAAATGACTACATTTTGGTGCCATTTGCTGTAGAGACTCTCGGTTCGTGGGGTCCAAGTGCTGTGAAATTCCTAAAAGAACTGTATTCACGACTGGTCGTCGCTGCTGGTGATAAGAGGGTTAGTTCTTTTCTCGCTCAAAGCATAAGGATAGCTATTCAGCGAGGGAACGCAGCCAGAGTTCTTGGCACGATACCACGGGGAGCAGGTCTTTATGACAGTAAACATTTTTAGATATAGTTTTTCTATATTAAAGTGTTTTTATATTGTGTGTTAAGAATATTAATTGTAAATATTGTAAAATATATGATGACATTAAATTAAAAAAAAAAACAATTCAGAGTTAATTGCTGATGTTTTGTCAATTGTTGATTGTTTGCAATAATAAATATTTATAATTTTGTAGAAATGTAGCAGCAGGGGGTCCACCGAAAATAGTATAACTGAAAGTTCACGAGTTTAGTTCACGAGAAAAAAAGTTTGGAAACCTCCGGTCTAAAATGAAGTGTTATTTATTCACAAAATCTTCTAAATATACTAATACGTTATTGTAGGATTCCCTATTTGCTAGTTATTAATCTAAATAAGCGTAATTGAAAATTATATTGACTAGTTGTTTTGCTATAACGATTTGTCAATTACGGCAGGCAAAGGTCTTATGCTATAGAGTCTAGTTTGGTGTGAATTTTGTACAAATTGGAATAACTTTAATTCCTGACTTCCTGCCGTAGTGTAACTTAATAGAAAATTATTCAGAATTTCAAACGAATAGCCTTCGTAACCCTACTGTACAAACACTTCAGCACTTCGATATACCAACGGTCATAAGACAGTCAACTTGGCACCGCTAAAGGGACTGCATCACCGCCCAAATTTCCAAGGAATCAAAGGCTTTCTCATAGTCCGCATACGCAAGACAAAGTGGTAGATTGTTCTATTCTGACTTCTTTATAATTTGCCGATGGGTGTGTATATGGTCTATGTTACTAAAACCTTTTCGAAAATTGGCTTGTTGGGGAGGCTGGAATAAGTTGATCTACGTACGAGACGATTCGCACGTAGACTCAACACGTAGACGCGGCTCAGAATAGAAATCGATCGGTAGTTCTTTAAGAGAGAGTTGTCGCCTTTCTTCAAGAAAAAGACACGTATAGGTTCAGCGTGCCTCTCACCATCGATGATCGCTGGCAGTTTTCATCTTTGCAATCATTGAGACTGAACAGTTGTACATATGTATGTATATACACACATATATATGTAATTATATGTGTTAATATATGTAAATATTATGCGAATATATATCTATGTATTTACTTACAATATTATATCATAATCTATTTTGTTACATATAATGTGTATTTATTTTAGCTTCTTTTCTTTTCTTTTTTTTCTTTTTTTTCTTCTTTTTCTACATCTACTTTCACCACTCTATGAGTAGACTGGTAGAGAATTCTTTTAGTCATAAAAGGATGGACCCTTTGTCCTTTTTTATATAGTAATTTTTAAAAACACAAATAAAAATAAATTGCTGCAACATAGCTCTTCCACGTACAAATATACAATAATAGTATATTAGTAATCTATTAAGTGGCTCATTATTCATTCATCATTATCATCATCATTATCATCAACATATTTATCGTAATTTTGATAAGCATCGTGATTTACATCCGGATTTCCGTTTACTCTCGATCCTAAAACCTATTGCAATATGTAGTATATACATTACTCTGTGCAGACCAAATAATATATTTGATTTGTGATCAACGTTATAAAACTAACATTAGTTTTCTCTCTCAGCGTATAGCAATAAAAATAACGTTCGAACATGAAACAGAACTTTTATAATCTTACGAGTACTTCAGCAATCTTACCTAAGTATTAAACCAACCCACATAACTTAGCAATAGCGTTCTGTTTATGGCAATACTCATCACTCAGAGAATGAAACAATATCAATTTCAATACTACTTACTATCTTTGATAGGCTTGACGGAAAAAAAATATCAGGTTGCACGTGCCTGATTTATTGCCTTTGTTATCTTTAAAAACACATAAGTTTTAGATAATATCCTTATATTAGATTATTCTCTGGAAATCCTGCACAAAATCACTCGTTTTTTGTGTTCATCATCATGATCAGTCTGCGATAGTGCAATGCTGGATAGAGTCCTCATCTTAAGCTAGTAACTTAGCTACGTTTTTGGTAAATTGGTTTCAAAATTTAGCTTTGGTAGATCTAAATAGATGGGCGGTTTATGAAAGTTTGTACGGTGACAAAAGGACGCAAAAAATTGTCATGATATTGGGGGCTTCTTACTTCAGATTGAATCTATAATATCTAAATTTTGTTATAATAAAAAATAAGAGAAAATGCGGTAAAATTTGGCAAAATTGCAATTTGAATGGACAATGACTTGAAATCTTCTTCCGCTGCGTTACACATTAAGTACTCCCGTTTATAGGTAAATTAAAAGAAAAGTGCAATTAACAATCGTTATTTATTAAAGAAATTAAACATATTATTTTAAATTCTCTCAAAATTTCTAAAACATTATTCAAACATAAAAAGAAACATAATTTTCTATCTTCTGAGTTACACTTTGATTAAATTAACATAATAAAGTTTTGTTTATTTAAAAAAACGAGCTCTAAATTAAAACTTAAATAAGTAATTAAATACAAGTATCGAGAAGGTTAATATTAATTAAATATATGAGATCTTCTTTATTTAACAATAAAAACATTAAATAAAATAAGTTGCCTCAACAGGGGACTGTCACTCAGCGGAAGTGTATTGAAAAATTTAGGCATAATTTACAATAAACGCTTTATGTACCATAAAAAATAAAGAGAAAACGAAATTATTAAAGGTCTACTCACCAAAACAAATATCACAAATAAAATCGTTGTAACAATATTTGGGTATAATCCAACTATCGCAAGTAAAACAAACAAATTTTTTACACGCAATAAATTTTTTCATTAATTGCAATGATGTTCGAATTTTACATTTATGGCACTCAGAGTGACGGCTGACAACATTTCTAATAGACTTTGTCTGATTTATTGGAAAAATATTTTCTTTTTCTGTATTTAATTTAGGTATCTTTAGTGCTTTAATTTCCCACTTCTCTTCTTGAATACAATTTCGCTTTCTATTGGTTATTTTATGTTTGCTGTCGTCGACATTGACGTCTTTCTCGTCCAAAACTTCTAGATTATCACATATTTCTTCAAAATTATTTAAATCAGATAACAAATCTTTATCTAAAGGAATTATAATTGAATCAAATGCCGCACCACTGATCTCGTATCCTTTGTCTTGTTCCTTTTTATCTTCCGATTCTATTATCTCATCACTGACTTCTTTGCCTATTTTTTCTTTAAATATCATTTTCTCTACATTTAAATGTTGCATAATAAATTTCTTCTACTCTCTCTTGTTTTTCCTTTTCCTGTCCATTGTCGCTAATCATGTATACTTCTATAATGTCTTCCTCTTCCCCACAATTTGTAGGAATTTTATGTGTTTGTTTGGACGAGACAGGTACAACTTTTTTTGAACTAAGGATTGGCATTGCATGATTTTCAGCTATTATTGTAACTTTAATAGTACGATTAAGAGCAACTCGGTTCGGTTTTTTGGATTGGTTTTCCGTAGCTATGACTAAATAAGCCAAAGCAATCACACAATCCTCTGTGGAAGCCACAAAAACAAGATAGTGGGCGATATTGAATTTCTCCAGGTGATTTAACAATAACTTGGTGTGTCTTCATAGTGTCTGTTAAAGGCTTCAAGTCTTCAGAAATCAGTTTATTTATGTTGTCTATATCATTGTCAATTATATAAAGATATTTCACTGACTTCATGCATTTTGACAATATCTTCACAGCTTGCTCACCACAGGAAACATCATTACCATAAGCTACCTGTTTGTCCTTGGACCTCTTTACTGCACCATCTATTACATTTGCTACTGATTTTCCATATCCACTCTCGGTAAATGACCATGCTGAGTACTCAAGGCCTAGTTTAAAGGTAAATAAATTGTGTACAAAATTTTCTTTTGCGTGTACTGAGTACACGGACCATCTGAGTAAAAATGAATAACCTTAAGTAAAGGATTGTACTCTTTGGCTAATTTTATGACTGGCAAAAGGTGAGCCCATATAGCTGCTGGATCATGGGCGTTTTTATCAGCAATACTGCAAAATGATTGTGAACCTCCAGCCCAGTAAATCATCCCTGTATGTAGGGTAAATTGTTGTTTCGCGGTACCAAAATGCATAGATTGTACTTCTTCGGCTAGTTTACCACAGTAATTTTCTGAGAAGTCACAGAGTAGTACTTCATTTTCTTTGAGTTCGATTATACACTTTCGGTATTGGTGTTGCTGATGTTTCCAATTGTAATAATGTTGGAAATCCGTATATTACATTTGAAATTCTGAATTGATGTTTCCACGGTCCCTGTTTTTCTTACTTTCGCCATTCGCTTTGTTTTTACAGTTTTATTATTTTCCTTTTTAGTGTCTATATATTCGTGATTTATGTTCTCCCACTGTTCCCATTCTATTTCTTCAGTTATCTGTCTGTCTTTTAAATCGTACTGCAATTCTTGTACTTTACATGTATCACATTCACCATACATACATTTTTTTTTTGATTTAATATCACACGTAAAATGAGCCAAAAGACTTTCTAGTACTTTATATTTTGACAATACTCCAATTCTTTGTAGTGCAGAGAACATTTTTTCAAAATTGCTATGTTTGATATAGATGCAAGTATCTCTTTTCTGTACAGTAGGCGATAAAACATAAAAAGGTCGATATTTATAAAATGTGGCAAACGATTTTGTTCCGCCCTCTGCTCGATAAATCTGATATAGATTAAATAGCGTATCCGTAAGATATCTAATCCGTTCATTTTGTTTTTTCAACGTGCGGCACTCTTTTTTCCCAGACTTACTTTTGCTTATGTCATCTTTCAAGAAAAAAACTTCGTATTTCTTTGCATATTTCATTTTCTTTTATTTTTTTAGCTGCTTTTCGTGCTATTCTTTTTAAACCTAATAGTTTAGAAACAAATGTCTTCTTTTTTAATTTCTTTGTGGCATCATTTTCAATTAATGTTTTAAAAACATTCCTTTCTTCGTATTTCTTACACTTTTCGTATGACGTTTTCAAACAACTCTCTAACAGCTCATCTCTAGCTTTCATTTTACTAATAGTTTCTTCTAGACTTTGAACTTTTTTATTTGTTTCTTTTTTATAGAAATATAGGCGTTTTCTTGTCGTCTCAAGTGCTGTTTTCAATTTTTTTATGGCGACATTATATTTACGGGCTAATCTATTTCTTAACATCCTCTTCTTATTTCGAGTATTTAAAGTAGATGGTGGAACGACGAGCCTAAGGTTACCGAAGTCTTATTCCCCGGTCGAACCTTAAACCTATTACGCGAGATATTAACCAAAGTGGACTGTATATGCGAAATGCTTCTACGTTTACATAAAATGGCGACTATAGCACGCGGTTTCCCATACAATGCACTCGCTCTTCCCTAAAATGAGCTATTATTTGCCAAATCTATGAAAGGAATCCTGCTTGATTAGGAGAAAATAAATTGGAGCGGACACAATTATATCAAGCAGTAACTAGTAAGGAATATTCACTCACCGGGGTGTTGCTTCTATGCGGCTTGGGCACTAAGTTGCTGCAACTTCTGGAAGACACTCTGGGTAGACTCTCTGGGGCCCCAGAGATGTTTTCTTGTCCGGTGGTGCGTCGGGAGAGAGGCGGTGTGGTTCCAACGACGAGCGCGGCGGAAAGAGAGTGCGCGTCGGCAGCGCGTGCCTTTTATTCCTTCGGTTGCGATGATCGCGTAATATTCTAGAATCATCTTCTTTCCCCCCCCACTCAACCACCCCGATGTGTCGATAGGAGGGTATGAATGATATCGTTTGGAAAGGGATAAACGATTTGGCAAGCCTACCGTCAAATATAAATAAATACGAATGGTTTTCCGCGCAACCAGTAGATAATATTATATTTTTTTCATTTTTACCCTGAGTTTTATTTTTCTTCTGCTTCCATTTCTGCTCTCTCCATTTTTTCAGCCTTTTTCCTTCTCGTATTCTGTTAGCTCAAATATCTTCTTAGTTTTATTTTTTACTCTTGCTGCAGGTTTTTTCTTGACTACTACGTATATTTGTGGATCTGCTTTTAACTTCTCTCTGTATTTTTTCATGTGTTCCGCAGGAGTGAGAGCCATTTTGACACCTAACAAATCAATATAAATGATTAAATCCTACTGATATAATAGAGTATGGATGTTTGTTCGTTACTCAATCACGCTGAAACGGTTGAAAGACAAAGCCGCAGTTCACCGCTTGTTTAATATAAAATTCAAATTACTTTCTAGCGATCGCCTGCCGATCGATGTCAATTAAAGTACGTACATAATACAAAAATTACATTACGGATAATGTTAAAAGTATTACTTAATCTTTCAGCTTTAAAACAAACATAGCAACTTCGCGAGTGTAGAAACAATTTAATAAAAAAACATATAGCTTGAAGCCACGGCTGGTGTGCAGGCTTTATAAAAAGATGCAGAACAAAATTACATTCAAATATAATTGCTATGAAATTGTTTTACTAGGTACTTAATAAAACTCAGTGTAAATGAGGGCTTACGTTCCACTGAGTTACGAAAACCTATCCACTGCGTGAATATTTCTCAGCAGCAGACGTACCGGATTTTAAGTTAAGGCTGTTTTTTTTTTAAATTCGTCAAAAGACAAGTCTAATTCAGTCAAACTGTTGCCTTATTATCAAATAGTAAATTATACGTCTAATAAATACTCTTTAAAACTGTAAAACAAGCGTACTTACTATGGAATCTTCGTAAATCAGCTGAATTTTTAACACGCACTAACCAGTACTGTACTAAGTTCTAACGATGTTACATTCGAACTGTGAATTCAAAATGGCTGACTTATTGTGAACCAACCATTGTAGGGTTGCTAGTTTATGATAATAATACTATTGTAGTAGATTTAGATACTCTCCTGGAAATAATAGCGTAACTCAGCGGAATTTTCCACCATGCCCAAATTTTAAACCATTCACTAAACTGTTTATTGCATTATATTTTAAAATATTGATTAAAACTGCATTAATTAAAATGGAAAGTGGGCTTCCGTTCCTTATAATGACACCATAAATGTAAAAATATCGTGATTCTAATCGAAACAGCGAGGTAAAATGTCTGACATGAACAAGACGGGACAGTAATAAAAAATAGAAATTGTCAAAGCAATTTTAATTTTTTCATATAATTTATGGTAAAATTATAATATAAATGGTAATTTAGAATGCCTGATATTCGAGTTTCTTTAAGAAATAAGATTTAACTAGAGAGCGGGATTCAATTTTAGGTAGGAAAAAATTAATTATAGTGGACAACGTGATATTACCCACTACAAACAAATAAAAAAAATGCCCAGATAGTATCTACCACCAGTCTGACGCGGTGTTCAGTTAAGTTCACCACGTGCAGTGAAGGTCATCACATTAAGTTTGTCTTTTTCTTAAACATTTCCTTTCATTATTATCATCGTTATTATGGATCTTCATATATACTGCTGATTATATTCCTCCACCTAGATATATCACAAGACACGTACCCCTACACGTATACGTACCACCTACATCCATCGACTTTCTGCATGTCTTACCAGATTGTCACTCCATGTATTGTAGTACCGCCCCACGCTCACACTCAGCAATCGTTGATCAAGTGGTCCTTAACATGACTGCTGTAATTGTGTTTCCGATTCCTATTTCTGATTAGGGCCAAAATCACTTATTGAGTTTTTCTGACAAGAAATTCTCTAGAGCAGCATAGAATCAGGAAGTAGACAATGTTTTATCCCCAGCCAGTTTCATCATATCAGACGCAGTAGTACTGCGGCTGATATCTCTCCGGTAGTATGGGATTGGCGTCCCATCGGTGAGGCAATATAGAATACTCCACACCGCCACTATACGACAATGCTAAGTGTATTGTAAGTTTATTTACCTATATTGTAAGTTTACGTTTAAAGCTGTTACGTTTTAAGTTGTATGTTACTTACATTCAAATACAAATGCGCTCAAATAGTAAACTTAGTTGTTTCAGAATAGCATTGACGGGGTCGTTATCATGCTATTACGTTTTATCTTCCTACAATAGTATTGCATTGCCAAGAAAACGGCTATTCCGTTTTATATGAAAGGGCTCTTAGGGGAAATCAAGTGATCATTATTGTACCTTTTTCTTGTTACTCAATAGTAATACACAAGAAAAACAAAACGTTTGCTTCAAGAAATTAATGGATATATTTCTTA